AGTTGGGTGCCCATAGTCGGAGTGAAATTAAACTGCGGTTATATTTAGAAGAGGCTATTAAAGTCCATTAGAATCTTACTCTGAGCTGTTTTTGAAAACCTAGAGTATTATGTGGAGTCGCCGAGTGATTGCTGCAGCCTCCGTGCTCCCCTCTATACCCCAGTAAGATGGAGATTGAAGCGCTTCCTTATCAGTTAGGAGGAAGGTCAGCAAGCACTATCGGATCATAATAGTTAGTAGTAGTAGCAAGTAGCAGAAGCGTGGGAGTCATTTATTACGAAGTGGCTGCACCTCTCTGAGACCAAGTCACTATTACTCCAGTCAGCATTTTCTATGACACGCCCAGATATCCACAAACATTGATCCATAGAACCAGTAGCCCTGGTCTACCATCCAATAGCCATATCCCCCCCTCCCTTCGTCCTCATTGCCGTGGATGGCATCTTTCGGGACCTATTACCTTGTTCTTTGCCTGCGCAGATTATCTTGTTTGTCTGTGAGTGGGGTTTTTCTCTCTCTCTCTTGTTATGACAGTGTCCTTGGATTTTCCCTCTCTGAGTGCGGTCAGTATGGAAATATATACCGTAGTGTGGATATCTTCTAAACATTTCCTTTTATTATAATTAGGTGAAGGTAAGTTTTTTTTATAGTATGTGAGGGACTGAGAGGGGAGGAAGAAGAGGCAAAGTAAGAGAGAGATTTTCAATTGAATTCATAAGTCTTTTGGAACAGATGTTTGTATCTCGATGAGGATGAAGTAACCTGGTTATCCTCACCTGCATTGTCATGAGTCCATGTAAATCACATTGCAGCTTGCATATTAACCTCATTGTACATACCTTAATGCAGATATGTTGCACTTGTTAAGGACAGTATGCCAAGAGACTTTTGTTAAATATTAAGACTAGGACTATATCAACCACCAGTGACACCCATCCCTTAATTTTCTATCTGCATGAATTCCATCTACCTCTGATCTTTTCCCACAGAAAGGTAAAGGTTGGTTCGCTAGATGTTCACCCGACAGAGAAAGCGCTTGTGGTCAACTATGAGCTGGAGGCCACCATCCTGGGCCAGCTGGGAGATGCCATGCTGGGCGACAGAAAGGTCAGCTGTTTTTTCGTTCTGCCATATTTGTCTCTTGTTTTAAGGAAATTTTGTTTAATTAGCTCGTCTTTTAAAACTCAGTGAACTGAACGTGAAAGACATGTTTGTTTTGTGAAGTGTTATTATTTTATTAATCTGGACTGTTATTTTTCCTATTTTTCCACTTTAGTTCTTGAGGTAAGAAAACTTCTTGGTCCATATGTGGCTTGATATTGTGTAGTGATATGTCCTGTAAGGATTATTTTTGTCTTCTTTAGGGGAGACTGTAACTATGCAATTGGAATATAAAGTAATGTAATTAAAAATTCCCAGATTATCTAACAAAAAGTTAGCGTATTAGAAAGGTCATTCTTCCTAACTGAGAAGGTTTTTGCTTCACAATCCCTGGGCTTACTCCTCCTTTCCCATTACCATAAAGCAGAAAGAATATGTTCCTTTGGAGCTCTTACCTTACCCTCCCTTACCTGATCTAGCCTCACGTGTCCAAACTCAAGGCAGACCTAAGGTAATCAATATATTTAATCCAAGGGGAGCTTCTCCGATTTCCCCTGTACTCGTCATCATCCTCATCGCAATATCCCCTCTCCCCCTCCCCCCCAGGAGTGCCAAAAGATCATTCGCTTGAAGAGCCTTGACGACAACACAGACATTGCTGCGCTGGCCCGGGAGGTGGTGGACAAGTGCAAGCTGATCCATCCCTCGAAGCTGAGTGAGGTGCAGCACCTCATCTCCTACCTTCTCACCAGGAAGGAGAATGTCAAAGGTTAGTTGGGAATTATTATTATTATTATTATTATTATTATTATTGTTATTATTATTATTATTATTATTATTATTATTATTATTATTATTATTATTATTATTATTATTATTAATATTTCTTTCTTTCTTTCTTTTATTTATTGTATTTTTATTTTTTTATTTATTTTTTATTTATTTATTTTTTATTTATTTTTCGAGATGATGATTACAGTCTTTTTTCTCTTTTCTTTTCTTTTTTTTTTAAGCCTCTATACAAATATATAATAAATGATATTTATATAATAACAGAAATGTTTTATGTATATATGCAGTATTTACATATATATTTTTGCTAATGATGATGATGACACGGTAATGACTTGCCTCTGATCGCCCCCCAGACAGCCACATCTCTCTGGACAACTCCTCCCCGGAAGGCACGACAGAACAGGCCAACCTCAATGAGCTGGAGTCCTATATGGAAATGCTGTACGAGGAGATGCCCGAGAAGGTGCGAGGGGCGTCGCTCATCCTGCAGCTAGCCAGGAACCCCGACTACTTGGAGGAGCTGTGCCAGAACGGTGCGTTTTGCAGGAGGAGGAGGAGGAGGAGGGAGTGTTTTGGGGGTGGGTTGGCTCAGGGGTATAAGGGGACTGTTTTGTTGTTGTTGTTGTTGTTTGTGTCTTTTTCCTGAAAGGTGTTTGGCTTCATAGATTCTTGGTTTTGAAAAAAGGTCTGTTGTGTGTACATTGTTTAGTTGGCATATTGTGAGACTGATAAAGTCTCAAAATTACAGTATTATTCAGTTTTATCATTATTATTGTTTTTAGTTTATTGTTGTCAGAATTATAATTACAATATTTATTATAGATAATAATATTATTCCTGAAAGGTGTTTGGCTTCATAGATTTATTATAGATAATAATATTATTCCTGTATTGTTTTTAGTTTATTGTTGTCAGAATTATAATTACAATATTTATTATAGATAATAATATTATTCCTGAAAGGTGTTTGGCTTCATAGATTCTTGGTTTTGAAAAAAGGTCTGTTGTGTGTACATTGTTTAGTTGGCATATTGTGAGACTGATAAAGTCTCAAAATTACAGTATTATTCAGTTTTATCATTATTATTGTTTTTAGTTTATTGTTGTCAGAATTATAATTACAATATTTATTATAGATAATAATATTATTCCTGAAAGGTGTTTGGCTTCATAGATTCTTGGTTTTGAAAAAAGGTCTGTTGTGTGTACATTGTTTAGTTGGCATATTGTGAGACTGATAAAGTCTCAAAATTACAGTATTATTCAGTTTTATCATTATTATTGTTTTTAGTTTATTGTTGTCAGAATTATAATTACAATATTTATTATAGATAATAATATTATTCCTGAAAGGTGTTTGGCTTCATAGATTCTTGGTTTTGAAAAAAGTTTCCTGAAAGGTGTTTGGTTTCATATATTCTTGGTTTTGAAAAGGGTCTGTTGTGTGTATATTGTGCAGTTTGCATATATTGAAACTGATAAAATCTCTCAAAATTACTGTAATATTCAGTTTTATCATTATTATTGTTTTACTGTATTATTGTCATAATTATAAGAATTATAATTATTATAGCTATTAATATTATTATGACTTATTATTAACATCTTTTAGCTTGTTGTCATCATCACAAACCACATCATTCTGATATTTTATTTTGTTAACAGAGACTGTTCTTGGTGCACTGGCCAGGGTGCTGCGTGAAGATTGGAAAAAAAGCTTGGATCTGAGTTACAACATAGTGTACACATTCTTTTGTTTCTCAGTCTTCTCAAACTTCCACACTGTTATTTCCCACTTCAAGGTGAGTGCCCAGACAAAATGTGTTTTAAAGTTCTGTCTGAAGATTTGGGTGGTTATATGGATATTATATTTGCCTTGAAGGGTGCATTTATTGGACTTTTCTTCCAAACTTCCCCACACAGATCGGGTCCCTTTGCATGGATATCATAGATGGTGAACTCCAGCGCACAGACCAGTACCGCGATCAGCTGACCAAGCGCAAGAAGGGTGCTGACGGCATGGCAGATCCTGCCAAGCTGCAACAGGACTATGAGCGTAACCTGAAGAAGTACCAGGCAGTTGTGGCGAAGCAGGACCAGGTGTGTTTGGAACGAGTTTGATTAAGTGTAATTTGTAATGTTGTTTTACAGAGAGGAAGCAAAAAGAAAGGGAATATTCATTCTATTGTAATTTGTATTTTACCCTTTTCTTTGTTTTGATTAGATTTTGACTATTACTAAGTATTTATTTGTTATTTGTTTCAACTTATTTAACTTTTGCAATTAGTTTCAGGGTTTAGAGTGATGAGTGTTCTTTATATTGTAAATGGAAAGAGAGAATCTTTTTAAGAGTTTTTGTATTTTTATCTACTAATAAATATTTTTGAGGTGAAGTTGTAATTACATACTTATTATTAATCCCAAGTAATTGAAATATGACAACACTATTATCTCTCCCCCTCCCACAGGTACTGCGAGTGTGTACATACCTCTTGCTCAACATTGCTGAGGACGTACGGGTAGAGGAGAAGATGCGCAGGAAGAACATTGTTGGCCTGCTGGTGCGCATGCTGGAACGGGAGTCCACAGACCTCCTCCTCCTAGTCGTGTCCTTCCTCAAGAAACTGTCTGTGTATATGGAGAATAAGGATGATATGGTAAGCAGGAGGAGTACAAACCCAATTCTTGGCGACTTGCTTGAAGGTGGGAGGCAGCAAAACATGGGCTCTTCAGTACATCGTGCTTGAGAAGCTTGACTCTGTTGTGGCTAATTTTCACAATATTATTCTGTGAAGTGTAATTTTTAAAATTCTGTTTTAATGCATTTCTACCATATTGATTAATGTGTAATTGAAGCTGCATCATCATTTTATTCCAGGGTGATTTAAACATCGTGGAAAAAGTGAGTCGCCTCATTGGTACTGACAACAGTGACCTCCTCAATGTCACTGTGCGACTCCTCCTCAACCTCTCCTTCGATGCCAACCTCAGGACCAAGATGATCAAAGTCGGCCTTCTCCCCAAGCTTGTGTCCCTCATAGGTGGGTCAAATTTTCGTGTCTTTTCTGTAGGTAGAGTTCATTCATTCAGATTGGATAAGTTGAGAGTTGAGTATTTAGGGTCAAGTTGTTTGATTTGTACTGAGAGAAGAGTGATGTGTGTGTGTGTGTGTGTGTGTGTGTGTGTGTGTGTGTGTGTGTGTGTGTGTGTGTGTGTGTGTGTGTGTGTGTGTGTGTGTGTGTGTGTGCGCGTGTGTGTGCATGCATGCATTTCGTTAATAAATGGGCTTGATGAAATATTTGGTTATTTTATAAAAGGTTTTGTATTATGTAACAAGTTCATGGGCATGAATTAAAAGGAAAAAGAGGATTCTGCTATTTCATTTTATTATATCAATGTTGCCTCTCAAAGAAACCATTCTCCTTGTAAGTTCTTTCAATTTTCCATTTATCAGGTGAGGAAAGACACCAGCAAGCAGTATTGGCAGTTCTTTATCATCTGAGTGTTGATGACAAGTGCAAGTCCATGTTTACCTACACTGACTGCATTCCGACAGTGAGTAACTCATATAGTTTGTCTGTTGGTTTTCATTAATTTGTGTGATGAATTTACATATTTTTTGTCTTTATATTTCTGAAGGTATATATATTTCTTTCCCTTTTTGTTTTGATGTAAAAACATTACATCTTATACCCAACAGTTAATCTGGTATTATATTTTGTCCACTTCTGAATAAAGATTTATGCTTATTGAGAACCTCTTCTCTCTTCCTCCGCTCTTAAAAGGTGATGAAATTGGTGCTGAGTTCCCCGGGCCCTCAAGTCCCGCTGGAGTTGATGGCCCTGGCTGTCAACCTGGCGGCCAACAAACGGAACGCACAGCTCATCTGCGAAGGGGCTGGGTTGAAGCTGCTCATGAAGAGAGCCCTGAAGTACCGCGACCCACTGCTGACTAAGATGATTCGCAACATTGCCCAACATGAAGGACCCACCAGGGAGCTCTTTATGGTAAGGAGGAGGAGAAGGATAAGATGATGCTTTCAGTTAATGCATTCTGCTTCATAATTGAAGTGTATTAAAGTAAAGGATAGATATAAATTGCACTGAATGAATATAGTTATATAGATATAATATTTTTTGTGTTAATAGATGAGCAAGTTAATGCATTGTAAATGAATGTATGTTTAATTTATGAACGACCTATGGAAAGTGATATACATAGAAAAGTATGATATTCATATATAGATATAGAACACATATATGATATAAATAAAATATACAATATTCATTAATTCATCATTTGATTTGATTATCCATTGCCTTCAGATATTAAAGAATTTCAATCCTAGAAGAAGGAAGCTATCTTGTAGCTGTTGAAGGCCTGATGGAGGACTTTTTTTCTTCATTTCAGGACTTTGTCAGTGAGCTCTGCGAAGTTGTGAGCAGTGGGGGAAGCGACGAGTTTACCCTCGAGTGTGTGGGCGTTTTGGGTAACCTCTCTCTGCCAGATTTGGACTATTGCCAGCTGCTCACCAAATATCAGCTGATTGATTGGATTAAGAATAGTCTCCAACCTGGTAAGGAGATATTTGCTCTCTGTTTTTGGGTAGGGTTTGGGCAAAAAAGTTGCTTGCAGAATGTGGTGTTGATTGCATTTCATTTTTTTATTGACTGTATCTAGTTGACAAATTGAAGTGTACTGAACCCTTATTTTCTTTTATCATCAGTTGAGTTTACTTATTTTCATTCTCTTTTCTCTTATCATTATCCCCCACCTCTCCTCTCTTTTCTTCTCTTCTCCTCTCCACTCTTCTCTTTTCTTTTCTTTTCTTTTCTTTTCTTTTCTTTTCTTTTCTTTTCTTTCCTTCTCTTCTCTTTTCTCTTCTCTTCTCTTCTCTTCTCTTTTCTCTTCTCTTCTCTTCTCTTCTCTTCTCTTCTCTTCTCTTCTCTTAACTTTTCTCCTTTCTTCTGCCATCCTCTCCCATCTCCTCTCTTCACTCCTCTGATCCTCTCTCCCTCACTTGTCTCACCATCATAAAAATCTGGTTCCCAAAAGATGCTGTGGAGGATGACCTTGCGCTGGAGGTGGTGGTCCTGCTTGGAACCGTGGCCGGGGACCAGGCAGCTGCGGAGCTCATAGTGGAAACGGGCATACTCCAGGCACTCGTCAACCTGCTCAATGGTAGGCCGAAGAGAGACGCTTGTTGTTGGAAGTATACGTTGGTCTCTCTGCTGGGCTTTAAGAATTCAATTGTTAGTGGTTATTGTGACTGATTATGTTGTGGGGAAGTATACCGTATTGGGAATGTGTTAGTTATGTCTGGGTTATACTCAGTATTCTTTTGTGTGTGGATTCTTATGGAACTGTAGAAAAAGTTATATTGATAAGCGGTCAAGGTACAATAATGTTTCAACAACTGGTCAGCATTTTTTAGTTATTTAGTTTAAATGGAATTGATTTCATATAGGAAAAAAGTCTCAAACATTTCATCCAACACAGCTAAACAAGAGGACGATGAAGTCGTACTCCAGATAGTGTATGTGTTTTACCAACTCACGCGCCATGAGAGTACGCGGCCACAAGTCATTTCCACAACTGAGGTTCCAGCTTACCTCATCGACCTCATGCACGACAAGAACACAGAAATCCGAAGGGTGTGCGACACAACGCTAGATATAATAGCTGTGAGTTAAAGCTTTTGTTGTGTCTTTGACCTATTCTTTCAGAGCAGCCTGTTCTTTCTTGTTACGTTTTATTTAGTGTAACTGTAACTCCAGCATGTAGTATTAGCTTGTTGGAAGGTCAAAATTGTATGTGAAATATATTGTAAAAAATTTGTAAAATGACTTAAATAATCCAATGTTTTTTCTTTAATTTTCAGTCTGTTTTGATTTTTTTTTTTTACACATAATTACAGTAGTTAATTTTTTATAATACACAGTTATTGAGTTGATAAGGACTACTAATCTGATATTTTAGAGGTTGAGGAACTAGCTAATGGTGACTCTTCTCCCCACCCCCCTCCATTATACAGGAAAATGATGAGGACTGGGCCACGAGGATCCAGTGCCACAAATTCCGCTGGTACAACAGTCAGTGGCTGGACATGGTAGAGGAGGCGGAGAATATCGACACGATGGGAGGGGAGGAAATGGCTGGGGGAGAAGGTCTTGGCCACTCCTTCCTCCACCACTCGGATGTGTTAGACCACCAGGGAATGTACTCAGGTGAGGGGGATGAAGACATGCTTTTATGAAGGCATGATTTTATGCGAGGTGGCTGAAAGAGTTGAGGGTATGGTGGATTTGGTTGTGCACTGATAGAATGATGTGTCTATATATTATGTATCTATTAATTTATCTATCCATCTGTCTATCTGTCTTCATATGTATATATATGTATATATATATAAAAATTTATTGTATATATATATATATACATATATATATATATATATATATATATATATATATATATATATATATATATATATATATATATATATATATTGTAGTTGGTTTATACACATATACTTTAGCTGAGTCTTATTAATGTCTTTTTATTTTTCTTTCTCACTCTCTTACTATATATCTTCCTGCTTTGATTTTTTCCACATCATTTTAACTAAGCCATAAAGAAATAAATGTAAAACTTTCCAATTCTAGATGGCCTCTCCTCTCCTGAGAGTGAAGACTACCCAGGCATGAACGGGCATGGGGAAGGCTCGCGCCCTTCCTCCAACTACACAAACAGGTGAGGCCTTGTGTCCTTTTCCTTCATATTTACCCTTTTGGGATAGTTTTCTGCAAGGGCAACTCAGTCCTGGGGTCGGTTTCTGCAAGGACACGGGCAGGGCTCGGTGGCAGACATGTACAGTAGTATTCACTATCTTAAGACTATAAAAGGCAGATACAATCCCCAGGTAGTGTAGTGGAAGAAGTTACTCATCATCAGGTTCTGTGTAATAGCTGGTCTAAAAGCTGAAATAGCCCGCATGGCTGCAGCTTCTATAAACTCCCTCTCCTTTATGTCAAATAAAGTGAGATGAAACAAGCTTTGTGCCTGTTCTTATATCTTGCTTAGATTATTTTTTTGTGGTCACAGCAACAAATTTTTGTATACGTGTATAAAAAAGTAGATTATATATTGTGGAATGTTTTTTTTTTTCTTTTATTGATGTAATGGTATTGACTTTCCTTTGACATGATTAATATTCATTATGTAAGTTGCAGCATGTCCTTTAAAATGCCCGTAGGTGTTTAATTTGTATTCTTGATTTCTCAGATGTGTAGAGTTGAGTTGCAAGTATAGTGGTAAGAATTCCACATAAATTGAATTTTAAGTTTCTTGCTTCAGAGTTACTAAAGTTACAGATTCTGTCATTATTGTTTTATTCTTGTATTTATGTATCTATACAGTATCCAGACATTCCTTGGTGTATGAGTTAAGTAATGAGTTTTCTATTTCATGAATACCAAGATATTCTTAAAATATCTGGATATACTTTGCGATATGCTGAAAGATTTTTTTCTGTAATGCACACATTCTGTAATATATATTCTCTCTATCACTGCTGGAATATGGTGATCTAGCTTTTTTCTCCCTCTCTTCTTGACTTCTTTCTTTAACATGTTTTGAATTCATTTTTACCAATGAATTTCTGTATACTGCAGTGTTTTCAAATATTACAGTGAGGTTTATGTTGTCTGTGAAATGGCCCTGTTTATCAGGGTTCAGGATAGAGTATGAATTCAGAGGATCAATTTTTTTTTTTTTTTTTTTTTTTTTTTAAATAAAAGGTTAATGTTATCATGAAGGCAGGTATTTTGAACTGAATATACGCAATTATTTTCTGTGCTTAGAATTTTTTTATATATAGATCTGCAGTCATCATTGAGATAATATATTTTTTTTGATGACAATAACCACAGAAAAAAGAGAAAAGCTTTAGGAAAAAGTAGGTAGCATACCATGCCATACTCTAAAACAGGATAGCTCCAAAGAAAAATTCTCACTAAAACATGGCCATAAATGGAGTTATGAGTAAGACTGTAAACGGCTCTTGTGAGACGGCGAGAGTTTTAGCCCTGTTATTGCTTTCTCTCGCCACGTGTAGTGAGATGTGTTTTGGTGAGGGAAAGAGGCAGTGTCGTAGTAGCGCCATAAGCGTTGACTCCATCTCCGTAAGTAGTAGTCTTGGCCATCACCACACAGCACACTCGATGCTCGATTGCTCCTCTCCTTTCACTCTCTCGTTCCACTCCTCCTCTTCCACTGTGGCACCAAAGTTTTCTGATTAGAGGGAGAAGAGTTTGTGCGTGGTTTTTCTACTTTTTTTTTGAGTAAAGTAAATTGTATATAGCATGAAAAGTGGTGCTATTGATACCAAATGTTTTTAGTTAAAAGTCCCATTTATAAACTGGGTTATTCAGTACTTATTCATATGCAAACAAGGTTTACATAAGAATATTGTTATAGTTATATATCAATGAGAGAGAAATTAATTTCAGACTTGATTGGGCATCATATAACTTTAGATTTATATTGAAAGTCTGTGTCTTCTCAAAAGTATAATGGGGAACAGGATATACATATTGTAGGAATTGATTGTCTGCATATGTTTATTTACACATATTCAAATAGAATGGTATTCCTTCTGATTTACTAAGTTCATGAAAATATAAAAAATGTAAATATGCACATTACTTTGCACTTACTGTAGATAGCACTGATGAAATAAATGATGCACAGTTCATTCTATGATTGAAAATGCAAAGAGCAGTAAAGAATGTCCCTTGTAGTCAAAATAGTAAACACAAAGCACACAACTAAAAGCATACTTTGTACAGAAACCTATTTTCTTTTCAGTAGTGGAAATCCCCAAAGGTAAAATAAACACATTTTTAAACTAAATATTTTTCTATGACTTTCTTAGAGATTATTTTGAATAAGATATGACCTGAATTTTGCACAGGTGGTTAGACAATGAAAAGCTGCATGACAGCACAAGTTTCCCAGTAAGTCATCTCTATAGCTTTTATCCAGGCAGGTTACGAGCCCAGTATTTTGAACAGGAAATACAAGAACTGGCAAGGTAACGGCTTCTAGATAAAGCTTAGACCCTTGGAATAATCATATGTCCTAATTATTGTCTTTTTTTTCAATATCACAACTAAATGTGAGGCATATAACAGCTGTTTTCATAGATCCATTATCCAATGCAAATTTGAGAATGACTTCTTTTTTTTTTTATTAGTGTGTCATTAAGACCTGAAGCAACCTTGAATCTTATGATTTAACATGCTTTTAGCATTTCCATAGATGATAGAAAAGAAAAAATGTTCATTTGCATGTTTACCTATGAGCTTGCAACCTTATTCTTATATTTTTTTGTGAATCAAATTATTACTTGTAGAATCATGCTTGGTGTTATTATTATTATTTTTTTAAAGAAAATACCCTTTTATATAGGGAAGTTTTTAAAAAAAGGTCTGTAAATACTAGCCTCTCTACCTTTTTCCTTCTGTCCCCGCTTTGTCTTGTTTGTCCGTGCACAAGACGTAAAATGTCCTTTTAAAGGCTTGACAAGGATGCTAATGTATGAGAGAAGTATAATAGATGTATAAGGAAAGCAAAGGAACTGGTAGGTCAAGCATTTACTTGAGTAAATAGAGTAAGGATGGTTGGTAGAGCATCACAGAGGAACCTCAGCAGTTTTTAGGTGGACTGGCTGCAAGAAACCCATCTAGATTGTGCAACGAGAAAAAAACTGAATGTAATTTGTGTAATGTTGGCCGTGTGGAACTTGGATGTGACTGTGGTAAATAGGTTCAAGAAGTTTGAATTCATACAGTGAGAGTGTGGGACTTGAATAGTACATTGTGTGGATGTTTATGTCCAGTCATATTGTTATTTTAAATGTGATGTTTGTGTTTGGGAATGTAAATCTTTGGATAGATGGTCATTTTGTATGGTAGAAATTTATTATGATTCACTTCTTTTGGATTACATGCTATATAATGGTTTGTTTTATTATTAATGTGTGAATATTAAAAGGAAAGGTGACAGTTTTATCTGTATTATATAATTGCAAAGGAATTAATAATAAGAGGATTACAATGCCTTTTAAAAAATGAAATAGTTTTTGAATTAGGTGCATTTTAGATGTCTCCATTCAGGATAAGATTATCTTATCAAGGAAACATATAGATACTGATAGTTGTATCTGAATGTAGATAGTTACTTTTTTATTTTGAGTGTGATTGATATATGTATATTTCAGCAAGAGTGTATGCTGCAGGTGTAAATATTTAATTTTGAAAGATGCTTTGTTCTTGAAAGAGCCATTACTCTAAAAGAGACATATCCTAGAAGACTTGGGAGTAGAATTTTTTCTTTTCTAGAATACAATAAAGACATTCTATGACCAGATTCACATGGCTGGCCAGTTGTTGCATTTTAATGTTTTTGTTTATCTTAGTTTTACGTTATTTATTTTATTTGCAAGTTTTATTTTTCAACACAGAAAGTTCTGTTTTGTTTTTTCCAGTAATTATAGTCGAAAGAGTCCAGTGATTATAGTTCTGACATGATGTGTATTTATA